GGGGGGGGAGGTTTGTCGAAATATCACTTGTGAAATTAATATAACCTGAAAGGTGTATATAGGCTTTGCCAAGGAACCAAATGTCAGAGAGGAAATGTTCACGCTTTTCAAGACGATCGAGCAATCATGAACACATTGCCATCCTCTGATTGCTTCGCGAACGGGAAAATGATACAGTCGTAGATAAAAATCTGCTTTGAGAATGGGGACCGTTGAGAAATAGGAACGTCATTGCTACAGACATCGTCTACGGACAGACGAGTCAGGGGCTCATCTACTGAATGCTGCACCCGGGTGACGTTTAAAGGGGTGCGAACAGTGTGTGTATGACCTGAAGTGGTTGTTTTGTCTAGGAATTTTTAGTTCTGATTCTCTACTGGTCCTAACTGACGGATTGTTTTTACCCTTGGCATCAAAGAAGGCCTTAAGGGCACTTCAACATTTTCTCCGTTCCTTGTGTGAAACTTACGAAATGAGCGGGTGGTGAGGAAATGTTTGGTACAAAAATCTCTCTGTTCTCTATTTATCTTAACCATGATCTCGGCAGACAAAGGAAACTTGAGAAAAGCTATCTGCAAACTTCTGTTGGCCTGTTAGACTACTATAGTTTGCAATATGGCGCAATCGTTGGGATTTTTAGTGGTAGGCCTAATGCGAAATAGTGCGTCATTCTACAAAAATGGGGAGATAGCTGAAAATGGGTGTTTTTTACGAGCTATGTAGAGCAAAACTAATCTGTGGAATTATCTAAAATGAATAGCAAACAAATTCCTTTTGGCTTAAAAATGTTGTGTACAAATTTGAAACGCAAAACTTCACTGTGGAGGAAAATGTTAACAAAAGAAGATGTACAGATCTTTTTGGGACCAACCTGTATATCAAGTTGTAGAAGATTACTGCATATTTTTCATCTGACATACTGATTACTCTAGCTCCAGAAATATTATGCAGAACACCAGTTAGTAAATATTGAACAAACCAAAACCAAAAATACCCCCTACACAAACCAGACTAACCAAAACACCGTAAGCCCACAGGGTGTCATATTCCACAGATGAAAGAACACAACCAACGTAACAGTCAGACTCCTCATCATCATTGCATTTCTCACCCAGTGCCAGGGCATAGGACACAGACAAACACTTTACACCTTCCTCTATCCTGGGCTAGCCTTTTGATGTTATTCCATGTCTTCCCACTTTTATGTACATCACTTTCTGCGATTTTTCTCCAGGTTCCACTCGGTCTTCCCCGTGATCTTTTACCCTGTGGATTCTAACCAAATACTTTTTTTTGTTATTCAGCTGCCTGACCTCCTGAGAGTATGTCCGAGCCATCTCCCCCGCCTTCTTCCTATCACATCTCTGACTGGGATTTGTCTTGTTTTCCTTCACACTTCCTCGTCGGTGACCCTGTTTGTCATCTGATCCTCAGTAACTTTCTTAGACACTTGTTCATGAAAACTTGGATCCTCTTTATGTAAATCTGTAATGCGTTCCATGTCTCACATCCATACAACGGGACTGACTTCACATTTGAATTGAAAATCCCCAGCTTTTTTCGAATTGATATATCTCTGGTTTTACACATTTTTTCAAAGTTACGAATCCAGATCCTGACATTGACATTTGCTTTTAGGGCCTCAGGTGGAATCTGATCACGACGGTCGCTATACTTAAGTTCAGCTTCTTAATGTCATCAAGAATTTCTTGTTTTGAAAGAGCATCACAGCTGATTGTTAACTAATTTCTTGCTGACAGGATGTTTGGCGGGTTTCTCGATGGTGATCTGTTCAAGAGCCTGTTGAAATGCTCTACCTGTCGTTTCGACTGAGCTTCCTTTCTAAAAATGGATTTCCCCTCTTGGTCCTTATTGGTACTTCAGGTTTCTCACATTTTCCAGCAAGTGTTTGTAGTCTGGAAAGGTTTCGCATATGCGCTCCTACCGCTGCTTCCTGTGCCTTCTCTTCCTTCTCTGCCAGTCTGTTCATGTATTCCTCCTGGTGATTTCTTGAAATCCTTAGCTCTTGTCCAGTACCGCTCCAATGCATCCGCTCTTGATCCTTTTGATCTACTTGCATTGGCTTCTGCATTCAGTTGTCTTCTAATCCTAATTAAATTCAAGTGTCGGTTAATCCATTCCACGTCCTACCATTTCTTCGCTCCGAGTACTTCTTCTCATGTTGAACGGTCAGACTGGCATTGCATAATCTTGTGGTGTATCCTTTTATTTTCAACTTTAAAAGAAATCGTTTTAAAAACATTTTGTACTTGATCTATACTCTTATACAGCATGATGTCTCTCTCTCTCTCTCTCTCTCTCTCTCTCTCTCTCTCTCTCTCTCTCTCTTTCTCTCTCTCTCTCTCCCCCCCCTTTCTCTCTCTCTCTTTTACACATTGCTCACTTGATTTGGAGCCCACTTGTTGTGTGATATCTTCAGTTGTTTGTCTGTCTCTTCTCGTGATTTCTCTTCTCGCGAAGTCTCTTCTATAGTCCGAGCAAAACCAAATTGACAACTTGTCGACTCCACTACACAGAATTTAAGTTGCGAATTGCTCTGCTTTTTTGCATACGCCTCTGAATACCAAATGACCTTGAAATATCTACATTTTTGCGCATAAGTGACAAATATTCAGAGATATCTTCTCTGTAATCATTAGTATTTAATTACAGTCTGGGCAGAGCTCTTTAATTAGAACAAGAACGGTAGATTTTTTTTTCGTTTTGCCTATTTTCTTCTTTTGAAGTGTCTTCATGTGCCGCAAGTGTCTCTTCTTGTAATGTTTCTTCTTGTATTGTTTGTCCGTCCTCATGATGTTTCTTCTTGTAATGTTTCCTCTTGTAATGTTTTTTCTTGTAATGTTTCTTCTTGTAATGTTTCTTGTAATGTTTTTTCTTGTAATGTTTCTTCTTGTAATGTTTCTTGTAATGTTTTTTCTTGTAATGTTTCTTCTTGTAATGTTTCTTCTTGTAATGTTTTTTCTTGTAATGTTTCTTCTTGTAATATTTCTTCTTGTAATGTTTCTTCTTGTAATGTTTTTTCTTGTAATGTTTCTTCTTATAATGTTTCTTCTTGTAATGTTTCTTCTTGTAATGTTTTTTCTTGTAATGTTTCTTCTTGTAATGTTTCTTCTTGTAATGTTTCTTGTAATGTTTTTTCTTGTAATGTTTCTTCTTGTAATGTTTCTTCTTGTAATGTTTTTTCTTGTAATGTTTCTTCTTGTAATGTTTCTTCTAATGACGTTTCCTTCTTCTCGTCGTTTTTCTTACTTCATCTGCAGGCATTGTATTGGGCCAAGTCGCGCCGGAGCCGAAGAACTTGGTAAAGCCAGTGAAGAAGACGAGGCTCAGCATGTACGGGGGTGTCAGCCTGACAGGAGAAACACATAGAGAACACGTTTGTTTGGGAGAGGTTAGGGGTTAAATGTCAGAGGTCTTAAGGTCAGGGGCGAGGGTGAAGGTTGGTATAATGAAAGGATTTTGTCTTAACAGAGTTAACTCCCATCACCACCTGCCCTTTACACACAGACACTAGAAATAAATAACAAAGAAACAGATAATAATAATAAATAGCATTTGTATAGCGCACATCCCCGCTCAACAGCAGGCTCTATGCACTTTAAACTATAGTATTACCCCAGCAGACCATAGAACACTCCGAAACATTCTCAGCTTCCCGGGAAGCATACAGTGAAAGCAGCTGATTAAGCGCTCAAACACTAACAAACTGACAAGATCTTTCGCTGTCTATAGCTGTCTATTATATAAAATTAAATAAGTAGATATGTAGACTACAAAAACAAAACAATGATTAATGAAAAGGAATTGCACAATAATAAGGGGGGAAAAGCAAGGAGAAAAAAAAACAAAGCAAAAGAATACGAAAACAAAGCAAAACAAGAGAAAGGTGGAAAATCAAAGAAAACATAAAATCAGAAAACAAGAAACAAACTAGAATGCAGAGAAATAAAACTGGCACAAACAGGTACACACGCTCTGTCCAACGATACAATACCTATCACAAATAACTGCTTCTGTCTAACGATACAATACCTATCACAAATAACTGCTTCTGTCTAACGATACAATACCTATCACAAATAACTGCTTCTGTCCAACGATACAATACCTATCACAAATAACTGCTTCTGTCCAACGATACAATACCTATCACAAATAACTGCTTAACCTATCCCAACCCCACCCCGCAACCCCTCCCCCGCAACTCCTCCCCCTCCATCTCTCTTTTTCTTTGTTTGTCTCTCTCTTTCTCTCTGTCTCCCTCCCCCTCTCTCTGTCTCTCTCTCAACCTTGAGAA